CAACAGAATGCTATACCAGTACCTTAAAAAGCAAATGAGACAAATAAAAATCTTTCAATAAAATTTCCAGAGGTATATAAACATTTTATTGTAATGATGTTAGCTGCTCACTTTTCTAAAAATAATTTGTTTTCAGTATTTTGTCAGAACGCTTAGAAATGTAAATTAACATCTCCCTCCCTAGTAAGTAGTCACATTTGTCCTTCAAAAAAAAAAAAACCTGGAAAATGTTCTCCAAAGGAATTACAGAATTTTGACAGGTCTGGGCACTTAACTTTTATTATTGTACCTTGGTCTGATGACTACAGTGAGTTAGTTAATGTGTCTGAAGCTGATGTCACTGCAGTGCTTACACATAACAATCAATACATCAAGCTCAGACCAAACAGAAAACCCAAGACCTAAATTTTTGTTACAGAAAGTTCTTCTATATCTAATGTTTTGGTAATACTGCCACAACTTGGTTTGTTGAATGTGACAGTGGCATTTCCTTCACACACAATGCAATGGTTATAGAGCCATGACCTTATTTCTTGAATTAGCTGTTGGCATTCTCCCCACACCAATTGCAATGGTAATTTAGCATTTGGTGATCTAGAGAACCACAATTAGGGTTCCCATGATCAAGTTTATAGCAATTTGAAGAGCCTTGAGTGGTGTCTACTTGAATTTCTTGACTTAACACAGAACAATAATTTTCTGCATTACAATTTTAAATTAAATTAGCATAACTCCTGTAAGTAAATTAGTTCAAAGCAAGTGTTTAAAAGTTTATACTTTCTAATAACCTTGTGTAACAGTGGAGTTTCATACAATTATTGCAAAACAGCAGAACAAGAAAACAAAAAACAACACATGATAGGAATTTTTGTAATAAAATACTGATTTTTTCCAACAGCATTTAATATTAAAAGAAGCGATCAAATGATACGAAGAATCCATACAGTGTCTGTATATATTGTATACCTACATTAAAATAAGTGATAGAATATTTTGAAGAATCTGTACAATGTGTATATATTAGATATCTATATTAAAAGATGTGATTGGTGTTTTAAAGAATCTGTAAAATGTGTGTGTATACTGGATATCTGTATAAAGCGGTGATGTACCCTCACATTAATCATAAATTGACATACTGAAACATTCCTCATTCACTAACAGTAGTGATTTCATACATGATAAATGATCTCTGATAAAGCTGCACTTGTTATGGGAGATAACATAATGAATGTCAGAGCTTCAAAAGTACCTTTGAATGTACAATGGTTTTACTCTTGACATATGTTAAAATGATGTTGCAGTGTTCAAGAAATAATGTAATGTATTAGAAGTGGTTTAATCTATTTTAAATTTTCATTTTAAAATATCCCCAATATAATTATTACAGAACTTCACATCCATGGATATACTTCCCGTTCTTATGTTGATGCTGCCTAAGTGTAATGATTCTCCCCCAGTTTGGACTTTTGTGATATATATATGGCAAGAATATGTGAAAATATACAAGAATGATTATGAAAGGTCTTTAATTTACTCTTCCCCTTTCACTCTAACTTGGAAAAGAGCAGGATTCAACAGCTACAATTTTAATCTGCTAGACACTTTATAAAATCTACTTATCCACAGTCTCATAGTATGCTTCATACAAACATCCTCGTAGGACATATATAGAGTACCAATATTAAATGTTAAAATCAGGGAACAAAAATAATACTCCAGCTAAAAGTCTCCTGAATCTGGGATGGGGAATGCAAGAACATAATCAATGTAGAGGACTTCTTTTGATTAACAGATTTGAAAATTACATTTTAAAGTGAACTATAGACATAAATAAATCTTTTACTGATACTACACACATTATTCATACCTATTTCCCTACCGCAAAACTTCCAAATTATTGTGGAATTTTCTCAGTAATAAAATACTGCTAGTACTACATAATAAGACAGAAAACGGAATTGATTTGTTTTCTAATGCAACTAGACCTAAACATAGCTGGAAGGATTTATTGAGATTGTTTTTATAAAAAGATAGAATGAAGATTTCATGCAAGCAGGAAGAAAGATGTACCACCATGGAATTAAGGTTCATCACGTGAGTTACAATCTGGTACACACGAACATATACAGAATCAGGATGGATGAAAGCTGACTGCATCACACTTACGCATCCACAGCAACCAAAATCAGTAAAGATAATCACATTAAATTAAGAATCAGTTACACAATACCAACTCCATGCTTTCCTTAAGAATAAATTCAAGATATATTTGTTATTCACTTCAAAAACTGTTATTCTGTCTCCTTTCCAAAACACTACATATTAAGATATACAAAACAATCAATTTACTATTGTTCTGTATGTTGAGAAATGCTGACAGCAACAGTAAAGACCACAATTATTTTTTTATTCTTATTTAGTGTTCTGTCTGATGACAGGTCCATATGAACAGGATCCTTCCATCCTTTTCTCGGACTGGGACCTGTTCATATACGTTCTTGGCAGATGATCCAGAAGTGGTTTGCCATTGCCTTCTTCTGTGTGTGAATGGAGTAACTGTTGGGATGCCACGGAGAAACCGGGGAAGCCCCCGGAGGAAAACTCCGTGTTGCCTAGACCACGGCCTTGCCCAACACAAGTTATAAATTCGGGCACTGCCGGGAATCGAACCCGAGACCCCAGGATTACAAGGCCAGCGTTCTAACCGCTAGACCACCGTGGCTCCCCAAAGACGACAAATAAGTAAAAAAATATACTGAGTGGAAAACATGAGTTACAGGTGTTTGAAACTTCGAAAAACATCTGGACCCAAGAGGGATGAAATCATTGAGAAACTTAGGATATTACATAAAAACAAACTTTGAGATTTATGCAAAGGTGCTTAGTTCAGCTTGGGTTTAAGGAGGCTCATATGGGATCGCAGACAATACTTACGGAACATTAGTGTGGAGACCTTTTGCAAAGTGGTAATTTCAGAAGACGAGAAGGAGCTGGGACAGCAATATTAAAATAGGTCTTAGAACAATACGGGAGGTTAATGGAACTTGATTGGAATTGTGTTCAGTGGTGTGATCTGATATTACCTGTACTGAACATTTGGATTCTACTGCCAGAGGTTAGAAAAAACTTAAACCCACAAAGTCTAAATTCTAGTTTTATCTTTGTCTACACAGAGAGTATTTATTTTTTTAATGTCTTCAAATTTTCCATGTATAAAATACAATAAAGCTATAAAATCAACAAATGATTCCACTACTACTTCGAACATACTAATTACACTTTAAACACACAAGACAAACTCCATACATAAAATATGGGTCAAATGCCCATATCCAGCACATATATAACAGAGTTATCAACTGAATTTTCCCCTAGCTATACAATTCTTTATTCATACAAATCCAAAGCACATTTTATGTATTGCACACTAAATGACTTGGAAAACTGACTGCCATGGAAAAAGTGGTAAAAAGAAAGCCAGCGTACACATATTTTGCTGTTTTGTACACTTCTCTGGCTTTAATGTTCATTTATTGTACATAAATATCTACTGCTCCAAAATCGCATTGCATAACTCCTCCCATCACCCTTAGTACAACATCCAAAATGTCTGAAACTGACATGAAAGCATGTGTTGCACTGAGACACCTTCACAACCCTCCTCCTGCCAAGATGGATGTCTTCTGGGTTACAGCACCAAGTGGTCTGGTAGTAGTTTATTGACATCTCAGAGACTCACTGCCCTGATGATGGAGGCAGAAAGCACTTATGAAAATGTTGCTAAACTTCTTCCAGCCTAAATGGCATTACAACCCAGAAGACAGACATCTTTATGCTTGTCACTGTGACAACCTCAAATCCCTCCTTACATCAAGTTTTCACAGCCTACTAACATCTCTTCTTGGTAGTAGCCTAAAATTACAAAATTATGTTATACCTATGAAAAACTTTTATTTTAATGTCACTGTAAGGCACCATGTAAAAGAAACAGTACAAAACTCAATTAACCTCTATCATACTACTACCATTACTACTACTACTGCTGCTACTATTATTATTATTACTACTACTACTACTACTACTACTACTACATACAACATACTAGAGGGCTACTGCCTAGAAAACTGGACTGTGCATGACGATACTTGGGAGACAAAGGCTCAGGTTTGAAGAGATTAAATAACACAGAGCTTGAACTCATTAGCAGATATAGTTGCCCCTGTGCCGAAGCACCACACCATGTAGATATAGACAGGAAACCCAGGCAATGTTCCATACATTCTGCACTATGGCACCTAATGTATACGAGTCTTCAAATGCACTCTCTGGCCACAGCACGATATCATTAACACGAACAGGACGCACAGAGGTAAAACTCCATCATTCAGGTCTTTGGTACTAAGTGAAAGTGAGTGGTTACTCTGGCTGTTTCATGACAGGAGAAGAAGAGCCTCAGCAACCATTAAATAGGATGTTGGGTGGGCCTTACTGCCAGAGTGGATGAAGTAGCAAAGATAAAAATCCCTGCCCCTGCTATGAATCAAACTCTGGGTGTCCAAGCCACAGCAAATCGTCCATACTAGCTATGATCACCTTGGTAAATCATGTGGGACTTACTTTAAAGTACAATACGGGAATATTTTGAAAAATTAAATAAAAACTAAACACTGGTCTTTTCTGTTTCTAATTAAATTTGCCAAAAAATGCTCTTCTTTCCACACAGTCCGTAACATTTCTTGAGGGTAAGAACCTGTAAAAACCAACTCTACTTCAACATACAATGGTACGCAGATTGCATAAATATGTAAAGCAAACGTTTTTTCATACATCATTGATGTACGAGTTCCATAAAATTATAAAGCAACTTGTGAAACACACCCGGCTGATCTAAATAAGCTGCATGTCCAGCGTCCTTCAGTGGAACTTCTCGACTATTCGGCATAATTCTCAAGTTATGAGGAGCTTCCTTGGCCATTGGTGTGTTATCATTTTCTCCATAAACTATCAGTGTTGGAACCTGTGAAAGTAATTAACAGAGATCATTATAAATCAATTACTTCCAAACTACCAGTTATATTTTATAAGAGGTTCCCAGTGGATAATGGTGGTAAATCAGATTTCAGTATCTTCATTAACCTAAAAAGTTATTTTCTGTTAAAATTATAAATCTGATAATCAATTATGGCCATAAGTAACTAATTATTACCTATTAAGGACCAAGAAATACATGTTGATCATACGGCATATGTACTACAACTATCAATCCTACTTTTAGATTCTGAATCAAGCTGTCATATTCCAGGCAACATTATAAAACTAGTCTAACAACAAAGCAACCGAAACAGCAAAATCTCACCTTTACAGTCTGAAGAATGTCTTGGGAGACTGAACTTGTTGCCACTGGTGCAACTGGGATAAAACCTGACAATAAATCTGCATGTTCACCCACAAACTTCACAGAATATTCACCACTCATTGAAGGTGAGATGAGAACAGGATGGATCCCACTTAGCAGTTCAGATTGTATTATGGAAAGAATAAACTTTGATTTATCACCATGATAAAGTCCCTGAGTTTCTCCATAACCTAAAAGCATAAACAAAGTTACTGTAAATAACATTTCGAAGCTTTAACTCACACAATGCATTCCACATCTCTGTTCTCAGGTTCTTACTTACTAAAATGGGAATCCCATTATAAAACGTTAAAGAACTGTAGCACTTTGGCTGTAATGCATTTCAAGAGCAGAGATTGCTCTTGAAATGTTGGCGGAAGATACGGTTTATTCACCATTCAGCCACATGACATGGCCTGTGACCTGAGAGTCTTTCATCAACTCCAGTCACCGCAAAAGCTTCACTTTATACATATGTCATTAAGCTGTGACAACACGCTTGTCAAACGGGTTGTGCATGCTTCCTCGTCTTGGTTCCCACCTAATATAATCAGCAAAGCATGCTTTGGTGAACAGGTGAGGTTTCAGCATTTCATTTACCACATAACAGAAAGTGCTTGGGACCAACTTCATCACAGTTGAGGCTTTGATACTTACAAAAACCTTTACAAACAGAGATTGTAAGAATCTGATATGATTAATAGACACTGATTTGTTAATATCTATCCAATGGCACTACAGCCCAAATCAGGCCTTGGCCTCCTTTATTTGTTAATAGGTGGCTACCAAATCAATAACAAAGAATACTTGAAAGCCACTATAGACACTGAAAATATCTTTTACCTGTGGAAAGAAGCAGTTGTACGTATAATCTAATGGTATGTTAACAGTTGCTTTTCAATTCATTACTGAATGGTATGAACCATTAATTTGGGTACTAACAGTAGTACAGAGTTAGCCAAACAGACATTACATCATGAAATCTGAGGTTCTAATAGTGTCTAGTATTAAGATAGATGTCTTATGGGTTGCTGCAATGGATGTTACACCTTGTTCAATTTCTGAACTATCTGTTTGGAGCAAACATTCAGTCATTTGAAACATGTGCATTCCGTGCTGTGAGCTGTTTATCACTCAATTCTGAATTTAACAGTGCAAAATTATCATTAATTAACAAGAAGAACAGCCTCATACTGTAAGAGATTTCAGGTTCTCCTGGTGGCGAGCACAGAGATGCCCATCTTCACCTCATATTATGGTTAATGTTCACTTCTTTTGATCTGGAACTGCAGGCGAAACTGCCCCCACAATTTTACTTTCAGGATACAGCCCTGGCTGATCATGGTCTGAACTCTTTAGTAATAATATCCAGAAAACTAACATAACAAATGAGACAACAACCTGGTAAATCAACTGCTACAACAAGATGGCCAATCCCTGCCATGAGATTCATTGTTCCAAGATTTTGCCATGTTTCTGACTTGAAGCTTCGGCCATGGAGAAGGAGTATTGCCTCACCAGATGATTTCATACTGGTAGAAGGTAATGCCTTGCGGAAGAACATACTTATACCCTGAAACATAATTTTATTTTAGTTTAGAGGTACTTGCAATAAATTAACAATATAACACATGGATCCAAAAATATTACTCCTAGCCTGTTAACCACTTCCACATTAAAGATTTAATAAAACAAACATTTTTTGTCAGTATATGTTTTCATGGTAATGTATATATTTATTTAAAATTGTGAATGCATCTTCCACTCTTCTGGTACTTATTATTTCAAAAGTCCCATAAATAACTCAATTAACAAGTCCAAGTAAGAAGAAACATCAAATCAAATACTTCACCTCTATTTTTATAATGCCTGTCACAAGACTGACATCCTTCTTATTAACGCCTTCAGGAAGTGACTTATTGTAAACATCCACAGTTTTCCAGTCTAATCTATTATTTTCTGATTTGATGCCACTGGTCATGTCCTGAAATCAGTATGCAGAGAAAAACTGAATTTAAACAAAATATATACCCAACCAAAAATGTCACACAAGAAACACAACATAAGTATTTCATATCAAGACATGCTCAGCAGTTTTTAAATAACTTTAGAATATCCATCACCATTTCCTTTAAAACCCCTACTCACAACTGTCAAATAAATACCCAGAGCAGTTGACTCGAATGACACCCAACTTCTAACCTGAATTCGTCATACTGTTACATCTTGTGTTTACAACACAAATAGGAATGCCACTGGTCAAAACTGAAAATTACATTTTGGTGGTCACACCAAAGTATCTGTCAACTTTACATTAAATAGTCTAGATTACATTCTGTACGAACATTTCTCATGAAGATCACATCAGTTTTCTTGGATAACTATGCCTAATCTAAGAGCAGATCTTGCAATACAGTATCATTATCACACCTCCCTAACCAACAATTTCCTGGCTAGAATTATGAAACCTGAAGCTGAAATCGTACAGTCAAGAACATACCTTCAAAATGTCAAGTTCTGGTAGCTTTACCAGACCAGAAAATGCAAGGTAACACCATAAGAAAACAAATACAGCGACTACAAACAACTTTACCCACGATTTCATAGTAATATATTTCTAATGTCAAGATTCTGATCACGGCTAGTAAAATAATGTTCAACTATACACGATAGTCACTATCTGCATATTACATTTTTATTTGTTAGAGCTCACTGTAGTCACAAGACTAACCAACTTAAACAACACAGTATTAAAAATATCGACTCCGTCGTACTTTACTTGTTCTCTGGGGGAATTGGATATAATCATGACATTCTTTATTTCCAGCTCACGACAAATGATTGAAAACTATCGATAACTCGATACTTACAGATTATCGAATATTTAAAACAGTCGCATATGAAATTTTGTTTTCACGGTGGTGAACGTGCTGACCACGGGGTACAGACTGTAATGCAGTGTAATGTTATCTATGTAGGATTTGTGGTTTTCACGGCGGTGAGTCTGAAGTTGGCTGTATTGTGGGTTGTTGCTACGTGCAGTCTGGTGGAAGTTTACAGACGTTTCAGAGGTCCTTGCTGCCTCCCTCATCAGGACCTATGAAACGTCGGCAAACTTATACCAGGCCACACGGCACAACAACCCAGAAGACAGCTATATTTTTTGTTATCTGTGCTTTTTGCTTTGTTTTCCGTTTCAGAAGAAACTAGCCACTGCATCTTCAGACTGCTACATGGTGTTACATTTCTGAAGACGACAATCTAGTCCAGTGATAATCGCCTAAAATCGTAGAATCACGTACAACAGTAGAACTCATAGGTGTACGTTTTTGTACCATGAAATAATAAATAAATTAATGCGCAGATTTCACGCCAAATTGAGCTACGCGTTATAACCATTCGCCGTCATTCGAAAACAAACTACTTTTATTGTTATTTTATTATCTATAAGCCCAGGTTCCATGAAAATACTAAATCATTCTGTACATCTACTGTATATGATAAGAAGAAAACAGAGAAAGCTGAAACAAGAATTGAAAAGAATCAATATATTAATTAATCCTATACTTATACGAAGTAAACCACGTATATCAAATAAGTAAGGATCTTGCGCGAAAATTGTCACAATTAGTACTTTACTCTCATTATTTCTTCAAGAATAATACACTGGAATGTATAATACTGGTACGTTTAGTATAACGTAGTATTAAAAGGTTTATAACTAATCGAAATGAACTAGGCCTAGAGATTTCGATGACAAAAATGTATTCTCATTCATTCACTAAATAATTAATATTTCGCTAAAACTCATATTTTTATAAAACGCATGGGGCAATATAGAAACATTTGGATGACACATAAGGATAATGTAGCATCATTATTGTAACAAAGTTGCTCAGAACGTAACGATTCACGGACATTAACATCACCAACAGAACCACGACATCGGCTGCTGTAGCGTACTGGTATCTGGTGGTGGACGTGAACACTACTTTCGCAAGTTCTCTGAGCATGAAATAGGATGTTGGGGCTCATCTCGTGGGCGGTAGGTCCCATTGAAAATGCGGGTTGGGGGGGAGGGGGGAAGTGGCGATAAGAGGGAGTAGAAAGAGACGGTTGAAACCAACCTGTCCCGCTTCCATCATTTAGTTTGCGCGCAGATCCGTTAGAAGTAACTCGCGTTCAATAGCCCGTGGCATTTTTACACCCAAACGCCAACAAACAAAAATAACCAATAAATAATCCACATTTTTTAGAAGTGTCAGTCACCCATCTGTATTGTTGGTATGTGTGGTTCTGTGGATGTCGGAGATGCAGATGAGAACAGAGCGGGCAACTGGCAGGCAACAATGGAACTACACTAGCTAAGATAATTTTTCTTCTTTTCATGTTTTTGTTCGTAAACTAAAGAAGAAAACGATCGATTTTTCATTCCATTCGTTTTGCGAAACGTTAGAAAAGGTAGTGAACGCGTCTATTTTTGTGACTGGCTGACAAAATGTGTGAAACAAAATCAAAATGGATGATTCAACAAAACAGCTTTCAACATCATCTTTCACGATTCTTATTGTTGACCGTTGCTTACGGATTAATCATCTTTCCAGGTAGGACTGGAAATTTCAGATCCACCAGGTTTTGTGTGTGTTGTGTGGTGATAATTTATACAAGAATCAATACTGTGCGTATCGTATACAGATTTAACAATGCCTGAGCAATATACAGGCCCTGTAATAAAAGAACTATCCATCTATTTATGATTTTAATAAAAAAATCTTGGGAAATGGATAATATGAATTTACAAAATATACAGATTTTATGAACCTCCCTTCGCGGCAACTGGTTTCTTTAATACATGAGAGATCGGATCGTGACAGATTCTGACAAAGGTTATACACTTATAACGGAAGTGAGTTGTTTTGTGATTTCGTAGTACATTCTGAAAAGATTCATATCAAAATTAATACTTTCGAGATTACATTCAAAGGGAACTAATACCATACCATAGTTTCTTCGGGATTTCCGAAAGTGTATTAATTACATCTGTTTGACTTTGCCAAGCAAAATGTACCACCACAACCCCCAATATATTCTTAATTAATATGTTCAATTTAGGTTAATGTCGCTTTGGGAAGGAATGCTAAAATGTTCAGCGGAGCTATTTTGATAAAGTGTAACATTCTGCAGAAAGAGAAAAATATTCACTGTTTTAGGCAGTCATTGCTTCCTTATGAATAAATGCAGGCTTGACGATCCAGGTTCAAATCCCGACAGAAATTTTGACACAATTTTTGCTACAATTTTCACAGTAGCACTGGCAACCACCCAGTGACCCAACCAAAGGATACCGGGACCTCTTTCCGCAGAGATAAAGTGGCCAGATCGTAAACCTGAGGAAAACCAAGTAATACCGCGTACTTTGTAAACGTGAAAGCGTGAAAATTAAGTATTTCCATCTAAAGATGATGGACATCCATTCTCGGGGTTTAAATTATTGAAGGTTTAAGGTAAACAGTCACTTCCATTTAACGTTGAAGTGTAGTGCTTTTTCTAGTTTCCTTTTGAATGACATCTCAAAAATATTCTCTTATGGCGTTCGAATAAAGTGAACGCAAAATGTGGAGGTCGTGTCTTCCCGTCCGCATGTCTACATGCAGAAATAACCTTATGGATTTTAATTAAACTTCGAACTGAGGATTCTACACTTAAATGTGTCGGTCATATTTAATTTTGGTTCATATCCGTCAAATATAACCCCTACTTTAATGAAGTTTAAATGAAACTTCTTTGGTCTACTCAGAACACGACTTACCTTACAAACAAATCCATAGATCGGCCGGCATATTATGTAAAGTAGCCTATATATATCTTTAAAATGATCTACAACTGGGTCTACGATAATAATTATACATATAATTTATTTGTTTCTTGAAATCAACCATTTTCTTCCGTAATGCTAACACTGAGTTGTCGAGTGAATACAAATTAGTTGTAATGTCTGAGGTAGCGGCCACGTAATGCCTCAGGGACTAATAAATAGAAACTTGAATGACGAGAGCGGGGTTGATGTCCCCTCGAGCGTAGCTTTATTATCTTACACTTCGTGATAAAGATCGATTCCAGCCTGGGTCTGTCTATTGAGATTTTTTCTAAATCCTGTGGGACAAGGGGACGCACTCTTTGGTGGAAAGAACATCATGCAAAAGAATATAAGTTGTTTTTTCCACTCTTTTTGAATGTGAGTATTTGTGGTTTATTTAAGGACAGCCACGGTGGTCTAGCGGTTAGAACGCTGGCCTTTTAATCCTGGGGTCTCGGGTTCGATTCCCGGCGGTGCCCGAATTTATAACTTGTGTTGGGCAAGGCCGTGGTCTAGGCAACACGGAGTTTTCCTCCGGGGGCTTCCCCGGTTTCTCCGTGGCATCTCAACAATTACTCCATTCACACACAGAAGAAGGCAATGGCAAACCACTTCTGGATCATCTGCCAAGAACGTATATGAACAGGTCCCAGTCCGAGAAAAGGATGGGAGAATCCTGTTCATATGGACCTGTCGTCGGACAGAACACTAAATAAATAAAATAAAATAAATAATTCAGGCTACACAGCGTCGAATGATAGAAAAATTCAGGAATTCCTGTCGTGAAAGGCAAGATATATATAGTTTATTTTAACGCTTGGTTTCGTATCATCAAAGGAACACAGCCTACATTTTAATATGTATGGTGCAGTGAATAGTTATTCAGCTGGAAATTCCAACTTGTATAAAATCTCAAATTTCATTACTCGGTTCACATGCTGTGTGACTGTTTTGCAGTACGTAAGTTCTTCGTGTGTGTTGTAAATAAATAATTACACGCCCTTAAAACCGTACGCTTATTTATGGACATCCTCTATTGAAATAAATTTCAGAGAATTCGGTTGAGAGGGTGTGCAATAAATTAATTTGGTGCAAAATAGGGATCAGTGGCGGGTTATTCTGAACGCGGTAATGAACCTTCGGGCTTCGTACACGGCGTAGGGATGCTTAACAATTTGAGTGACTATTGACTATTAGCTACTCAAGAAGGACTCTGCTCCATGGATGAGTTTAATTTTATGTTACTGAAACAAGATGTTAAGAGTCAGCACTGGATTCATCTGACGCAGGGTCCAGTGGTGGGATCATGCATACATAACGAACTTTGGGTTCCATAAAAGCCGCTTAATCTGATAATCGAAATTTCCTGACCTTTATATAACCCACGGTTCATTATCGTGTTCAGAAGAGTTTGCCACTTGATATTATCCTGATTAATCCATACCACAGCCTAACAACACATTGGCAAACTTTAAGAACAATTTTTATGTTATTATACTTCGTTTTTTAGATACATTCAGCGGGAATGTCTCGTCTCACCCATGCGTTCTACATGCTCTATTAATCTCATCATCCTTGTTTTTGCGCGTTGCTCGTGTTGTTAATTTTGGTGTCAGATTCTGCAATTTCCATGATCAAAATGCGCGAGACGCACAGAATCAAGGGAAGCATCTATCTTGTCTTGTTTACTGGTGCATGGAAGAGTCTTCATGAGAATTTAAAGGCTGGCAGACCTTACCTCTTCTGGTGCCAAGACAAATTACATGGGGGCGAGTAACCTCCATGCTTCTTTCGTCCGGTAGCTGAGCGTATGAATATTATTAACGTATACTCGCTTCGTGCGTGAACATATACCTCCATGAAGTAGATCCCTTCTTGAGAATCTAATAGTCCCTCAGCTATTGAAGAAAATTCCCACTTCTTATAAAATCCTTATGTTCATTACCGTATTCATAACAAATCATTCATTCATTAATCTGTGAGACACAACACATTAAACGCAATACCTCCATAAACATTAAATTATTTATTTATTTAGTGTTCTGTCAGACGACAGGTCCATATGAACAGGATCCTTCCATCCTTTTCTCGGACTGGGACCTGTTCATATACGTTCTTGGCAGATGATCCAGAAGTGGTTTGCCATTGCCTTCTTCTGTGTGTGAATGGAGTAATTGTTGGGATGCCACGGAGAAACCGGGGAAGCCCCCGGAGGAAAACTCCGTGTTGCCTAGACCACGGCCTTGCCCAACACAAGTTATAAATTCGGGCATATTACCATTTACAGCAACTGCTATAGTAATAGAACTGAATATTAATGGAGATAGGGCGTGTAATTGCCTGTGTTGTGTGTTTGACGGATTAATTAATGAAATATTTCTTTGACATAACCACAAAAGGACAATTTTGTACAAATTATAATGCGATAACAAGAGATGGCAACTAGACACTATTCTGAGCTAGATGAATCCAGTCTGCACTCTCCATATTATTTAAGATCCGATTTACATAGTTGACACTACGTGCTGGAAGAGAGAGACTTAAGATGGCGTGGAGTTGTAGGGCCTAAAAGTGCAGAATGAGTTACAGCAAGACCAAGGAAACGATGGAAAGAGGATTCTGTGGTCGATATAGACACCGAGTTATCCAAGCCACGAAGAAAAATACAACATACGATACTAGAGAAATAATAGGAAAAAATCCCAAGACCTTCCGCGCGCTGACAGCGGAAGGAGGTCCTCGACACATTCTGAATAACAGACGAGGCACATCTATTGTGAACTTACAATAGTAATTTACAATTGTTTGCACTAATATCGAGATCCCGTCACCAATACGTACCATTTTATCAGAAATGAATTCAAAACTGTCAAAAGATTATGTAGAACAATGATATTCAACCTGGGGTACACGAAGACATTTTAGGGGGTACGTGAAATTTAAAAAAAATATGTATTATTTTATGATAAACACCGAATAATCAGTAATGTAATTTATTTAATTTATTTTAGATATAGATTATATACTATGTATAACTTGAATTATACACCAACAACTTTGGGGGTACAAAGTTGAAGAGAAATTATATCTGGGGGTACGTGAACAAAAAAGGTTGAATACCACTGATGTAGAATACAAGTAAGCATACGGACATGAGGGCGGTTGCCAGAAACCGAGTAGCGTTATAGATGCAGTAATTCATAATGCCTTTAAGAGCACAAAATAAAAACTTTTATATCAACGTGTTCAGCCCCTTCTCACAAAAACAGTTTCGTTGCATTTAGGGAATTACTGTGCCTCCAGCTATCCTGGGGCCTGATGTATAATCACATTTATCCTACGCACATGGCAAAGAGCGTGGGTTGACGCTCCGTCATGTGGGAGGAAGCTTTCAATCGCATGGATTTTGTGAAGCGATATTATTGGATCCACTGATCCATGTGGTCTCGAACACTGCGAACACAGGCTCCAATATCGCTAGGGTATAACTACTTGCTCGCCTTTTCTGTCTTGTTCTGTAATGACAGAGTGACCGTCCGTTCAAGTATTCAGCCGCTTGTCTTAATAAGGATTTAGAGAATCTACATCAAAGGAGACAAATGCTCGAATCGGGCTGTGGCACACGAAGAATGGTCTGATCCCCCATCCAAGGAGTCCTAAAGCCTCTTTCGATGATTATTCACGGCGGCGAGTACGAAGATGGTTGTCTTCTGGGTCGATGCGCTGTGTAGTCTGGCAGAAGTTTATCGACATTTCAGAGGTGCTTGCTGCCTTCACAATCAGGGCTATACACAAAATAAACTTCTACCTGAATACATGGTGCAACCGCCCAGAAGACAGCCACCTTCATATCCGTAGGTTGTTTAACGACACTGTTTAAACTAAGAACGTTATCAGCATTGAATGCTGAG